CTTCTTTCCTCTGTGGAACAGAGATATTTTGATAAATGTTTTTTTTTTTTTGTCTATCCAATGGAAGTCCATGGTAAACTAAACTGTTGGGTTATGCAGAAGAAAGTCATTCAGGTCAGGTTTTGAATGACATGAGGATGAGTAAATGATGAATTTCAGGTCAGTTAAAAATCCAAATTTATTATTTATTTATTTTTGGAGACATATTTATTCACTATTAACATGGACAATGTACTGTGCACTTTCCTGAAAGGAAATCTGTTTAAAACATGTATATAAAATAATTACATGAAAACACTATAATAGTGTTAATAAAAATTAATGATGACCGTAACTGTAATAGTGCCATTTACAAGTGTTAATGTAAGTGATTGGATGAATTCACATGTAAGGTTTTACAAGTAGAATCCAAAGAAAAACACATGAAAAAGTTCCCATGACATATTCATATTCATATCTACTAACAAAATTTGTTCTTGCTTTTTTTTTTTAATGATGGTACTGTTCATGACATCATTTGATATGCTAAATGCATCTCTGACTGCAATACTACCATTTAACCATTATGGGGTAAAGAGGATGAGATCAACTAGATACACAGGGCTGCACGATAAATCATGCGATATTTAATGCGCATTTTGTCAGTAAAGCCGGCTCTGTAATCAGCGGTAAATCTCCATCACGTGCGTGCTTTCACATGGTGCAGCATTTACTACACAGAGCAGTTGTTCACTGACAAGCTGCTCAAAACCACGATCTACACTATCCCCAAGTTTGCTTGCAAACCACTAAAGCTAATAAACTCTAAATAGAGCCCTTTTTCTTCATGGTTTGGTCAATGATAGTCTAAAACAGATTTATTTTAGGCATTTAAAATTTGAGGAACTGCTTAAAAAATATAGTAAATGTAAAACTGTGTGTTTTGTTTGAATCCAGTGCTTGTCATTTTATAATTACGTGATATGACAGTGCAATAGTAATAAATAGTATAAGTATAAGTTTGTCTGGCTATGATGATGACGACAACTCTTTTTTAATTTTTTTTAATTTTTTTTTTACAAGAGGTATCATGACAGTCTCACAGACGTGTCCTTTACTTGAGTGGGAAGGATGTGGCCAACCAAACCACCCCGACCCTGACACTTTGTCACTATTGACGTGTATTAAATAGTCTTTAGCTGCAGAGGAGAGTGACTATAAAGCTTTGACTATAAAGTGACTATAAAACTACCAACTACTTTAAAACACCTCCTTATTAAAGGGTTCAACATCATTAATAATTATAATTATTAAAGCAGACATGCAATGATACAAACAGACACCAATTAAAAACAATGTTCTACTGCTTGTTTGATTAAGTCTTTTTCTTGGGGCTCAAGAAATGTAGTTTCTACACTTATGCATTCTTTTTTATTAAGCATTTTTAAAGTGACTCAGGCAATATATATTGACTTTACTGTTCATTTCAGATGATGAAACCCTCCTAAACCAACCAGTGAGGCAGTATGCTCGGCCCTCTAGAAAGAAACAAGGTATAAGAGAAAAAAATTGAACCTCTACATACAGTCAGTTTGTTAGCCTGCCTGTTTGATATCAATTTTTGATAGGATTTATTGGCTCTTTGCTTTATTTTCTTCCTAGAGTTCCCAAGTCAGCTTCAGGACCTGCATCCATCCTTGCTGAAGCATGAATATGCATCTGTCCCACTTGCACAATCGTATGGTTTTGTTTTTGTACTCTCCATATTGACCCAATCATACTTGTGTAAGACTATGATTGTATGTTTGGGATTAGGAAGTACATCATTTCTTCAGACTTCCTTTGTGTGCTTGAATGCAGAACGGTAGCAGTATTATGTCATATCTTTGCAGGGTAGATGATGTGGTGAAGAAACTGCTTACGCTGGAGCTTGCAAATCATGTATGGGTTTTCATTTCCTTTTGATTCTTTATTTAAAGGTGCTGTATGTAGGATTGACACCGAGTGGTTGAACTAGGTATTACAGTCCAAATTCAAAATATTGGAGAGGGTTTTTTTCACCCGGCCCCTCCTCCTCAGACTTGAGGCACACGCAGGTTGCCAGATTGACGACGCCAACAGGAACGAGCGCACTTGACAATGAAGGAAATGAAATACGCTGTGTTTTCCGCCAACTGGCAACCCGGTGTGCTGAAATACAATTGGGTAAACTGGCAGTGGGCGGGTTTCACAAACCAAAACAGAGACCGACATTCCGGCCCGGAACGCACATTTTCAAAGGAGAATAACTGACTGTAGCATTGTTTTTCAGATACACAAGTATGTTAACTTAGCATGTTTCTTAAATATCTGCAAACATATTATGGTATTTTTATGCTTTAGTAGAGTCAAAAACTTGCATACAGCACCTTTTAATATTTTCATAATTCAAAATAGGGTGGAATAACCTCAGCTGCAGTGCATTTATGGTATCTTTTTATGTTCTAAGTCGCGATAAAAAGATGTTAGCCTGGTTTCACAGTCAGGGCTTAGACTAAGCCACGTTTAGGCCATAGTTCAATTAGGATATTTAAGTATCTTTTATAAACGTTCCTTGAGACAAAATAATAATGGCACTGATATATTTTAGGAGTTTCTTTCAATTATCTGTCATAATGTCTTCCTTTAGAGTGAAAAACTTCGTTTGAAAGAGGAACAGCTTATTGCCACGGTGCGGAGGGATGAGAACGACCGCAGCTCAACAGAAGTCAATGGCAAGTTCTCTTTTTTTAAAGTTGACAAAGTCACTGCTTTAACCATACTGGAATCTCAGAACATGACTCAATCATGCGGAATGTACTTGTTTGCATAACAGTGGCGATTTTGACAGTGCGTATTCGCAACTTCCAGGAGCACTTGCACAAGCACCCTAAGGTAAACAGCTTTTCAGTAGCATGACTTTTTTCTATGGGATTACAATTCTGCCACAATTCTGCACGCGAAAGATCATATTTTGAGCGCGCAAAAGTGCGTTTTGCACGCGCGAGAACGGAGTTTTGTGGAGAAAATGTTTGTCTCGCAAAGAAGAAAGTATTTTGAGCGCACGAAAATCAATTTTGCATTTAAAATACGGTTTTGGATGTGTGCAGACCTTCTCTTTTGCGCGTGCAACGTTTCACTAGCTTGCTCACCTGATGCCTGCCCTCAGTGCTCGCTAAATGCCAACAGCTCGTGTGCTCAACACAACCCAGCGTTACAATGTGCCATAATTCCAGCCAATCAGAGACCGAGGCTGCTAAATTCTGATTGGCTGCCTTGACAACCAATCACAACATTTCTTGCATTACCTCGACAGCTCTTTCGCGCGCAGAATTGTGGCAGAATTGTAATCCCATATCTTTCGGCCTTTAGTAAAGGTGTCAGAACATTTGTTACCAGTCCACTTGATTAACACCCACAGACTCAAACAGGATATCCTGTGCATATGATTGAAGCATAAACACTACCGTTCAGAAGTTTGGGATCAGTACTTTTTTTTTTTTAAGAAATTAATAGTTATTCAACAAGGACACATTAAATTGATCAAAATCAATGCTGTTCTTTTGAACTTTCTATTCATCAAAGAATCCTGAAAAAGTGTACCACAGTTTCCATAAAAATATCAATCAGCACAACTGTTTCCAATACTGATAATAATAATAATAAATGTTTCTTCAGCACAAAATCAGCTAATCCTGTTATTTAAAAGGATAGTTCACCCAAAAATCTCACAATTTACCCACCCCCATATTGTTCCAAACCCCTTTTGTTCATCTTCAGAATACAAATAAAGATATTTTTAATATCCTCTCATCATATATATATCCATCCATTAAAAGTCCATGCAACCAAAAGCAATCATGTCTCTTTAGAAGACTTGCACTAAACTGCTTGATTCATACGTATTACTTTTACATTGGATTACTTTTTGTACTTTTTAATGCGTCAAGGTTTCGGTTGGGTGGACTTTCAATGGATGGACAAAAAGGATGAGAGAATGGTAAAAATATTTTAATTTGTGTTCCTGAAGATGAACAAAAAAACTCTCCTGGATTTGGAATGACATGAGGCTGAGTAAATGATGACAGAATTTTCATTTCAGAGAGACAAGTTAGTTCTACATCATAACTCTTTTGTTATATTACATCAGGATAAAGCCAACAAAAGATGGATGCTCATGGCCATCGACAGCAGGAAGAAAAAGCTGAAGTTTCTGAGAAGGACCTGTTATGATTCCTTCGAGAAGGTGTGTCAAGAGCTTGGAATCACATACATGTTCCCTCCTGAATATTATCGGCGGGTCACTCGACGTTGGCTGGCAAAAAAGGCCTTCTGCAATAAGGTAACGTTCTCAGCTCAGCCAAAATGTCCCAGTGTTTTGTTTTTTTTTTTTTTTTTCAGATTTCAGGGTTTGCATTTCAACTGTTGTTTACATAGTATTTTCTTCCTCTCAGGTCTTTCAAGAAGTCCAGAAACAAAAAGCAGAGCAGAGAGAGAAACAGAGAGCAGCGGAGGCTAAGGGAAAGGAGCCAACATCCTATACAGAACCACAAGGAACTGTGGCGTAGAGATGTTCAGACAGCTGACAAGACTCGTGTGCTGAAAAGTCCAGAAGAACAATCTGATACATCCTCTTTTGATTCATACGTGACTTTCAAAGAAAAACTAAAAAGAACCATCATGCTCCACATCAAATTATCTGCATGTTGTCATTTATTTTTCCTTTTCAATGGTAAGTCACTCTCTGAATTTTTAATAAAAGATCTTAAAATTCATTGTTTGGTCATCATTCCTCAAAATACTGATGAATAAAAAAAAAAAAAATACTGATAATTATATCTGAATAACTTCACAGAAATCCTTTGATGATATTAGTTTCACATACTCATGAGTTTTGGATTGGCAGCTGATGAAGACCTGTGTTTTATGCAAGACTGATGCATTGTGGTTTTGCGGCTAGTGCAAGTGGTTTGGCTGCTCTCAGTTCCCTGAACTCTGTAATTTTACAAGAAATGCATGACAAATCAGATGAATGATCTGAGGTCAAACTATCAGTCCTTTAGTCATGTGAGATTATATATTGATTGTTAAGAATTTTGGTAGGTCACATTTCCTATTACATCTCAGACCTCCCCCTTTGTGATGTGCTTTGTGTGAAGCTTATATGCGTGAATCGGAAACGTTGCATACGAGAGTAGCAAACGCGGTGTGTTGGTGTCTCAACTTCCTTTTCAGCTGCAAGCCCCAGATCAAGAGGCTCAGAAGAACACGAGGTACTTTTTCGTAGTCTACTATTTTGTTAGTCATTTTTACGAATTTTTTTAAAGATAAAAATACCACTTTCATAGCCTTAATCTCAAAGCTGTTAGTTTCTTATGTTGTTATCAGCCATATTTATTTAATTGTTACATGTTGGTGGGATATGGACTATAAAAATCTGTTAAAATAACCAGAGTAATTAGGTCTGGTCTGGATTTATTTGTTTTTCATAGACAAAAACCTATTTTTACATATCAAAATATGTATGGGAATGTAAAATATTCTGTCCTGCAAGACAAATTTTTAAAGGGATAGTTCACCCAAAAATGTATTTATTTACTAACCTTCATGTACAGTACAAATTTTGAATGAAATGTGGGAGAGTAAATTATGACAATTTTAATTTTGGGGTTAACTATTCCTTTATGACACAAAACATCCAAAACGCAGCATGGAAAATATTATGAAATAAATCTTTTCTTTCTAAAATGGTGATTAAATGGTAGTTTGGAAGAGTAATTTTTGTGTAACAATTGACAGATATGCATTTGTCACTCTTACAACTCATCTAGGGAGGAAACCTCTCGAGCCATATTCTCATTTTTGCTGGACTACTCATTTTGACTGACATGTCAAACCCAGTCATCACTCAGCCCGGTGCTGGATCGTATGGTACAAATGTGCAGACTGGAGAGTGGAGCACTGGTCTTTGTTCTTGCTGCAGTGACCTACTTGTCTGTAAGTCTGAGAGCAGTCAACAAATCATCTGAATATGCAACCTGAACGTCAAAGATACCATTTTATTGGCACATTTTAGCTGTGGTTTAATATTTAGCCAAGGAGGATTCATAATGTTAGTCAGTTTACTGCTTTTATCAGTGGCAGAGGCACGTCGTCAACATAAAATGCATGATCTTTTAGCAATTTTCTGCATTCTTCCATTGTCTAGGTGCTCTTGGCTGCATCTGTCCAATAGCTCTCAGCTGTTACACAGCAAACAAATATGGTGAGAATGTATGTCTAGCATGTGTACCTGGAGGAATGGCTGCAATGAGGACACACATGCGACTGACCTATGGAATACAGGTAATGTATACTACAAATTAAGGACTGGATTTCCCATATTGCATATTTAAGAATTATTATCCATTGCTGACTCCACTTGTTTTGTACATATTATACAACGTCTTTCTTTTTGTCCCTGCAGGGCACAATATGCAATGATGCTTTGATGACCTGTTGCTGTGGAATATTTGAAACATGTCGAATGGCCAGAGAAATTCGTATCAGGAATGGAGAGACCTAGTTGATGTCTTTACTAATTTCAGTCTTAAGATTCTTTTATAATTTTATAATTTTAAAAAGCATTCAGATTTATTGAAATCAACATTTCTTAATATTCTCTCGATTATTAAAGGCAGGAGAATTAAAACCAGGATTGCATTTATAAACATACATTCTTTGGAAATAAAAAAGCCTGACCAATACTGTTTACTTAGTCAACAAAGTAAAGAGTGTTGCATTATTGCAGCTTAAAAGTCTTGAATTTGTGTTAATTCTTGCAATATGCTAACAATTTTGCTGTAATGCTCAAAATGTGCCAATCTGCAGCATTAATATGTTACTGTACAGGAGCTGTGTGTCATATATAACAATCACACAAACACAGTACAAGTGGAATTATGAATTCATACACCTAATCATTATAAAATAAACCAACAAAACACATCTTTTCACGCTGTTTACTGTTTTAACTCGCTTGCTGTTGATTCTAATTATTTATTTTGTTTTGTTTCACAAACGACCATACAAATTATGTAACTACTTTCACGTCAACACGTAAAATATATAATCGTACAAATGTTGGTTGCGTTAACGTTACCTGATTTTCATGGCGAGACGTATTGCATCATCGTAGCGCAGCAGTACGAGCGCCTCTGATTGGCTGTTGTTGGCGGTGACCTGGCAACCGAGAGAGAGCTTACAGACGCTTATTTATTCCGCAGGATCTTCAGAGAGCGCAGATCGCCTCTTTTTGTGATTGCGTACCGATACTAGCTGCTCTTCATCCATCTCCAGAGAGGATGTCGACGCGAACCCTGCCTCTGCTCTTCATTAATCTGGGTGGAGAAATGCTCTACATCCTGGATCAGCGCCTGCGGGCTCAGAATATCCCAGTAGATAAAGCGAAGAAAGGTAGATGGCAGCTAATATACCTGGGAGTTGATGAAGCAAGTCGTTTAATCCTTGTATTTATGATCATGGTTTATGATCTTTCTAAAGAAGCAGTTGGTTCTTCTGCTGTTGCTGTGCATAATTAGCCAGTTAGCCTGTGTGTGTGAATGCAGTGATCCAGTGGCCCAGCTCAGTGACAGCCTTATGCAGGAAACATGACATTTTTGCAATGTTATGTCATTCTTTGTAGACAACATTACTACAGGCAGAAACATAGTTTTTTCATGCCCTGGTCAATTTTGAGATTTTGGGCTATTTGGCTTTTCGTAATGGGTCGTTTCAGACTAGTGTAAGGAAAACATCCAAAAACACTTTAAAATGTTTATTTTAGTACACTTTATCTATTTCCATCTGTAGATTTCAATTAAAATACATATTTTTAAAGGACGTTTTCTCAAACTGAGTTTTTTCTTATGCACTTATCCAGATATCTCTGTAGTTACATACTTGCACATCTACAGGTGCATCTCAATAAATTAGAATGTCGTGCAAAAGTTCATTTATTTCAGTAATTCAACTCAAATTGTGAAACTCGTGTATTAAATAAATGAATTGCACACAGACTGAAGCTTTTCCACAACATTCTAATTTATTGAGATGCACCTGTATATTCTGAAAGCTTTGACAGCAGGGTTTGTTCATAAATCATTTGCCTCGTTTTATGCAATATTTTATTCCTAAAACATGGTCAAAATGTCTTTCTTTCTGGCTGTTGACAGTATTTTCTGATTTATGGAGTTCTAAAAACCTTTGACTTTAATAGGTTAACAAAATGAAGTAGTAATGTTGGACCCAGCTTTATCTAATGTTCAGATTTGTTCTGGAAATGTATGCAAATTAGTAAATTTTTAATTAGATAATGCCTCATTTTCACATTTAAACACAACATTTAAAAAAAACTTGTAACAAAAAATATTAGCAATTCTTAATGTCATCAATCACCTGAGGAAGTATGGTGGTATTTATTAGTTAATTGTCTTGCCTTAAATGTATATATATTTTTTTATTTTAATTATGCGATAGATTGTCCATAGAGTGCCCCCCTAAAAATATTAATGTCACAGAAATAAAATATAATAAGTTACAAATAAAGCAAAAGCACACTTTTCTAACAAAACATTTTACAACAATTATTTTGTGGCTTTAAATAATAATAAAAAATATTATTCAAAATACACTGAGAAAAAAAAATTCATCCATTAATTTTGTTAACCCTAAAACACAACCCACTGCAGTACAAAATTCAAAACACACACACACACACACACACACACAAATCAATACATAAAATTCCTTCATAGTAATACAGTACATTGATCCATATATTTATGGATTTTTTTAGAATGTCCTGTCAAAATACAATAGATATACTATGTCCAAATATTTTGAGGGCCACTATATATTAATATCTAAAAATCAAGAATGTTCCCAAGAAGTTTTGACCATGGAGGTTGTCAGTACATTCAAACCTTGTAGTTTATAAAAACTGGCATGTCAAATGGACAGTGCATGTTCAAGTTACTTCTGTTGCTGGCAACACTGTGGTTCAATTACATTTGCTTAACAGCTTGTCAGTATCATGGTTTCCTGTCTAATATACGTGCCTGTATCAGGGTTTCCTGTGTCTTTTTTGCATTCTGAAATATTCTTAATGAACTTAACTTTGCAGTTATGCCAACATCATACTTTGGTATCCGATGCCACAGAGGTCAAAAAACAGAATATGTTGCTTGTTGCTTGCAGATGTGATGTATATACAGTACATGTAGCTTATACTGTACCTGCTCTTTAGTTAACTTCCTCCAAGGAACATTTTAAATAATGTCCTTTTTGATTTACAATATTTGTAGCAACTGTAGCAGATTGGCTAGAGGAGGACAGAAAAAGAGGTATTGTTAACATTCTGCTTGCTTTGCTGCTGGCCGTAGAGCAAAGTAGCATGCGTGTGCACATGCCAGCTCTCATAGGTTCTCGCTGTGTAGAGGGAGTTGGGGTTTCTGTGCTATTTTAATTGTAATTTTACATTTTTAATGTTTTTGTGTGAAAGAAAAAAAAAGTACTATTGTACAATAAGAACCCCAAAGATTCAAAAAGCTTGTACAGTTATTTTGTAGTACTGAGATATAAATGAAATCCTCCATATGGCAGTATATGTTTCTAGCACTTGTGTTTTCCTCAGTCAACATTTGATTACGGTTTCCAGCCTGCTTCTCTGTGAAAACATCTGCCAAGACAATAAAGCTTGGTTTGTAACTACATTTTGATTTATGATATTTTTGTTTATCAATCTTTCTTGGCAAACCAGCTTTCTACAGTACAGACTGCATTCTGCTTGCTTGGTTTTCAGCTTCATGTTTCATCACTGCAACTCTTTCTGTGTGTTTGTGTTGTGATAGTTATGAATGATATCATTACCACCATGTTCAATAAGAAGTTCCTGGATGAGCTGTTCAAACCACAGGAGCTGTACTCCAAGAAGGCCCTGAGGACAGTGTTCGACCGACTGGCTCATGCCTCCATCATGAGACTCAACCAAGCTAGTATGGACAAGGTGAGGACTAATGTCAAGGATGCATTGTCATTTTCTTGAATTAATTGTTTGCAAATCTTTTAGTGCGATCCTTGCACATTTTTCTAGTGAGATCTTTTTACAAATGTCTCTTTCTACACCTTCTTATGAATCAGTTTTTTTCTTTACTTTTGAAATGTGCCAAAGTAACTTCTGTTCACTGAAATTATTGTATTTTGAGCTTTGCTTTAAAATTCTCTTTAAATATTATTGTGTTATAACAAGCAAAATAGTGTTGAATGGCTCCCTCTGGTGTGCAATATGATGAAATATGTAATGGCTTCTTTATTTGAGCACTCATATTGTGCTCTTTTTATGCACAGCTCTATGATTTGATGACCATGGCATTCAAGTATCAAGTCCTGCTGTGTCCTCGCCCTAAAGACATCCTCCTTGTGTCCTTCAACCATATGGATGCCATCAGGGACTTTGTGAAAGACGCTCCCAGCATCCTCAGCCAAGTGGATGAAACAAACAAGCAACTCATAGAGGTAGCAGGGTCTCTGTGTAAAGGCAGTACTTCTCAGAATTATACATTTTCAGGTTATTTTCAGTTATTAAATATATATATATTTTTCATTGTCAATAACTGTTCATTTTAATATATATGTTATTTTATAGTGTATTGTTTATATTTATATTATATAATTAATATTATTATATGTTTCCATTGATAGGAATATATGAATTATATATGATAATATTATTATTTAATATTTTAACATTATATGTTAATTTTATGTTACATGTTTAATATTATTATTAAGCAATTATTTTACTATCATCAGCTCCACTCTGATTTTGGCTTTGAAAGTGTCTTATCTTTTGCTTGTAACTCCTAGATATATACCCCTTTATCTGGTGGAGAGTTTCAACTAATTAGACAAACACTCCTCATCTTCTTTCAAGATATGCATATTAGAGTAAGTCTTTTCTTTATTTTGACATGTACTTTAATACAGAATTCTCAATAAAAACTAATTCATTAAAAGTCCAGTAATACTGGTCATTTTCATGAAGGTGAAGAAAATAATAATTTTGACAACGCTAACATACATTTAAATATGATATGAATCTTGTTTTTTAGGTATCAATTTTCCTGAAAGACAAAGTACAGAACTCCAATGGGCGATTTGTTCTCCCCACATCAGGCCCTGTTCCGTATGGGACGCACATCCCAGGACTCATAAGGTTAGCAGGATCGGATTCTGCTTCTGTTCCTGGAGTTAATGCAGCAAAAACACATTTTTCAAGTATTGATGTGACTACAGTAGAGCATTTAAAAGGCTGAGAATGGCAGGATTTGATTTAAATGTTAGAAATAAATAGCCTCTAAATTTATAGCTGAAATTGTGCATACGTTTGCTCTGAAATCACCTCCTTCATTTAGAACTGACAGAGTCTGACGGTAAGGGTTTAGAGTTAATTGCATTATCAAGACACTTGGACATTTTCTAAATATAGCAGGGTCTGTTCTTAGACTGTGACAGAAAGCAGTAATTTTAATAGAGGTTAGTTGTAGTTGACATATAAGATGTCCATGAACTATTTTTTATCAACATCACGATTTAGATTTAAAATTTGTATATGTATTCTGTAATTGGTCAGCATTTATTTTCTTTTAAATACATTTTAAAAGTACAAATATTGCATCTCACAATCAATTAACATAAGGTCATAAAACTTCATGTATAATAATTATTAATGTTTTCTATGTTGTTAATCTTTTTTTTTTTAATTCCCAGGATGTTCAGCTGTAGTGGTGAGGAGGTGAGAAGGATGCAGTTCCGGGACGGTGGCAATTACAGCGCCGCTCTCCGTGAGGGTGCTTTTGAAATGTATGGTGATCGAGTAATCAAACTGGGTACAAACATGTGAGCATCAACCACTTTATAATAACACTCGCTTCTACTAATATTCAATAGTGGAATCATATGACTCACACCTTCTGTGTATCTTTAGATACCGGGGTGTAATTCATCATGTGTTAAGTTTTATCTGCTGCAAAACGCATCTCTAATTATTATGTGAATAATTTGGCTGTAAACCTGAGCCAGGTAGCCTTTCACTGGAGCATCAGCTGTACAATTGTCCTATTTGTTCTTTCAGGTACAGTGTGAGCCGCCCTGTTGAGACACACATGTCTGGAACCTCCAAAATCTCCTCACAGCACACCAAGGTAGGATTACGAAATTAATTATACTTTGTTTGTTTTTATTTATTTATTTTTTTTATCTAGTTGACATTGATAAATTGTATCCTTTTCACATATGCAGGTCTCTTTCAAAATATTTTGATATGTTGGTTCATTAAATAGATCATAAAAACTTATGGTTAAAAAAATGAATGAAATGTGTAATGCTGATGTAATTAGCATGCATATTTTACAAAACTCATGCACTTCTGAAGGTCAACACAACTCTGAATCCTTTGGCAAAAGAAGAGCTGAACCTGCTTGCTAGACTAATGGGAGGTCTGGAGGTGCAGAAATCAACTAATACTGACTCTGGCTTCCGTGTGAACCTTTTTGCCACTGACGAGGAGGAAGAGTGAGTCTTTATTTGAGTTTTGAGACGTTTTTCTAAAGTCAAAATAGAATCTGACTAGACTCACTAATAGATTTAAGGCTGCGTCTCATTGGAACAAGGTGTGGTATTTCATTTCAAAATAAAAGCAAAATTATGCCATTTGAGTAATATGTTTAGACATTCTTAATATTCTCAGTAATGATTCTCATAACTGTAATACAGTGATTTGTTTTTTATTACATTGTTTCAGCATTGTATATATTACCGTTTGGGTAAGACTTCTTTCTTTCTTTTTAATTAATACTTTTTTTTCAACATGGATGCATTAAATTGGTCAAAAGTGACAGCAAAGACATTTATAACGATAAAAGATTTATATTCAAATAAATGATGTTCTTTTAAATTTCTATTCATCAAAGAATACTAAAAATGTATCACGGTTTCCACAAAAATATTTAGCAACACAGCTGTTTTCAATATTGATAATAATAAGAAATGTTTCTTGAGCTGCAAATCAGCATATTAGAATGACTGCTGAAAATTCAGAAATAAACTGCATTGTAAAATATATTAAAATTGAAAACACTTATTTTAAATTGTAATAATATTTAGCAATATTAATATTTTATTGTATTTTTGATCAAATAAATGCATACTTGGTCAGAATAAGAGACATGTTTTTTTAAACATTCTATGATCTTAAAAATCTTAATTATTCCAAACTTTTGACCAACGGTGTCTATATGCAGTTTAATATATGTGTGTATGTATATATAAAAAATTAGCTTTTAAAACATTTTCTTTATGTAAAATATAATGGATTACTTTTTTATTGTGGAGTAAAATGTGACCCTGCCATGTTCTTGACAGGTTCTGTGAGTCAAACATCACTGTATGTGCAGCTTGACATATCAGTGAAATGGATGCTGTTAATTTTGCATGAGATTTCATACAAATACTGAAATACAGCTTATCCCTACAGGGAAGCTTTAATATCAAGACCGGATGAGCTTTCCTATGAAGTTATTAATATCCAGGCAACAAAGGTAAGGCTAAATGTTTGTATGCTTGTACAGTAATACACTTGTGCTGTTTGATCCTTGGCCTCAGAAAACATTGTAATGCCTGATTACCAGTGATCCTCCCACACTGAGACAAAGCTCTCAGCTTGTCTAATTGGTTTTTGACAGGCTAAAGATTTCCAGCCTTAGGTTAACTTTAAACTACCGGAGGACCATGGGAGTAACAACACACCTCTGACTGGTTCATTTCAGGACAAACAGACCAATGCAGAGCTGGCTAAGATCATGGGGGAGTTTGGAGAGACGGGAGAACCCGCCCCCAGTTCCAGCAGCAAGGGTGATGACCTCCTGGCCATGATGGATGGACTGTGACTTTAACTTGATGTTCCCTTTGAGTGAGCAGAGTGACTGAGCTGTTAAGCAGGATAAAGTGCTACAATGTCTTACTCCGCAAAGAGGCCTTTTGTCTGGAGCTACAGTGACAACCGTATATATTTAGAACGACAGCTAAGCTCAATGAGAAATTCTCTCTTTGAGAATTTCACACAATTTTTGTCTCCTGCCACCCACCGAATGTGAGAAATGCAAATAGCAGGTGTAGAAATGTAATATGCGTCTTGCTGTGGGACCATATTCACTTTTTCATATCCGTTCCGTTAAGTTAGTTTGGACCTACTGAGGCGGCACAGTCCATATCATCACATGGTTTGATATCAGTCTTCACAGAAACGTCTGCGAGGCTTAGAATGACTGCTGAAAATTCAGAAATAAACTGCATTGTAAAATATATTAAAATTGAAAACACTTATTTTAAATTGTAATAATATTTAGCAATATTAATATTTTATTGTATTTTTGATCAAATAAATGCATACTTGGTCAGAATAAGAGACATGTTTTTTTAAACATTCTATGATCTTAAAAATCTTAATTATTCCAAACTTTTGACCAACGGTGTCTATATGCAGTTTAATATATGTGTGTATGTATATATAAAAAATTAGCTTTTAAAACATTTTCTTTATGTAAAATATAATGGATTACTTTTTTATTGTGGAGTAAAATGTGACCCTGCCATGTTCTTGACAGGTTCTGTGAGTCAAACATCACTGTATGTGCAGCTTGACATATCAGTGAAATGGATGCTGTTAATTTTGCATGAGATTTCATACAAATACTGAAATACAGCTTATCCCTACAGGGAAGCTTTAATATCAAGACCGGATGAGCTTTCCTATGAAGTTATTAATATCCAGGCAACAAAGGTAAGGCTAAATGTTTGTATGCTTGTACAGTAATACACTTGTGCTGTTTGATCCTTGGCCTCAGAAAACATTGTAATGCCTGATTACCAGTGATCCTCCCACACTGAGACAAAGCTCTCAGCTTGTCTAATTGGTTTTTGACAGGCTAAAGATTTCCAGCCTTAGGTTAACTTTAAACTACCGGAGGACCATGGGAGTAACAACACACCTCTGACTGGTTCATTTCAGGACAAACAGACCAATGCAGAGCTGGCTAAGATCATGGGGGAGTTTGGAGAGACGGGAGAACCCGCCCCCAGTTCCAGCAGCAAGGGTGATGACCTCCTGGCCATGATGGATGGACTGTGACTTTAACTTGATGTTCCCTTTGAGTGAGCAGAGTGACTGAGCTGTTAAGCAGGATAAAGTGCTACAATGTCTTACTCCGCAAAGAGGCCTTTTGTCTGGAGCTACAGTGACAACCGTATATATTTAGAACGACAGCTAAGCTCAATGAGAAATTCTCTCTTTGAGAATTTCACACAATTTTTGTCTCCTGCCACCCACCGAATGTGAGAAATGCAAATAGCAGGTGTAGAAATGTAATATGCGTCTTGCTGTGGGACCATATTCACTTTTTCATATCCGTTCCGTTAAGTTAGTTTGGACCTACTGAGGCGGCACAGTCCATATCATCACATGGTTTGATATCAGTCTTCACAGAAACGTCTGCGAGGCTTTGATGTCACAGGCACTTCTGTGACATTTAGATCAGTGGACAGAATAAAATGCCTTTTCTGGACTGTCTTAGTTGTCTAAGAGGACAATCCGTGCACATGGAATTCATTTAAATCTGTTTGATGTGCAACCAAGAGGTGCAGGATATGCATTCACACAACAAGCGCTGATTAAGACAGGGTAATAGAGGAAACCGAAGTGCACTTGCTGTAAATATTTAGTGCAGATCCTAAAACTGGTTTACAGGAATCCCCAGGACAATTGGTGTGTGTATGTTTTTGTCTTTATTTAAAGGGAGTGCAACAAAGTCAGGTATTTCAAACTCAAGAAATTAAAATGTCTTAGAGTGTGCAATTGCTGCATTATGTAATGGGGCAATGTATACATGAAACCACCTTCCATGGAAAGAAAGCAATGCAATATGTATGGTGGATGAAATTGTTTATTTTTCATAACCATAATAGAGCTTATTTATTGAGGTTAATGTACTGAATGTTCATTTGTGTCTGTTTACTGTTTCATTATATTGAAATAGATCTGAATGTGAAATAAACTTTTTGAAAATAATGACTTGTCAATATACCAAAGGTTCATGTTTGTTTTTAAATAATACTTTCTTGTAATAGTTCACACAAAAATGAAAATGTACTCACCCTCAGGCCATCCGACATGTAGATGAGTTTCTTTACTGATACAGTTTTTGAGAAATTTAGCATTACATCACTTTCTCACCAATGGTTGAGTGGGTGCCGTCAGAATGAGAGTCCAAACAGCTGATAAAAACATCACAATAATCCACATGACTTCAGGCCATCAATTAATGTCTTGTGAAGTGAAAAATAAAAACATCACATTAATTCACAAATAATCCACCAATTCCAGGCCATCAATTAATGTCTTGTGAAGTGAAAAGCTGTGTTTTTAAGAAACAAATCCATCACTAAGGCATTTTAACTTTAAACCGTCGCTTCTGACCAAAATATGAGTCCACAATCCATAATTATAAACGCTAATAAACAGTGTTTCATTTGTGCATATTTCTCTTCTTGTTTCAAACAAGACTAAAGAAATAGGCCTATTATAGATAGACGACTCGTATTTGAGCTGGAAGCAAGTTAAAAAGTGATGGATTTGTTTCTTACGAACATGCAGTTTTTCACTTAACAATTTAATTGATGGACGTGTGAATTACTTGTGGATTATTGTGATGTTTATATCAGATGTTTCGATGTTTCAAATCTGTTTCAAAGAAGAAACAAACTCCATCTCGGATAGCCTGAGGTGAGTAAATTTGAAGGGAATTTAAATTTTTGGCTGAACTATTCCTCTTAGGTAAACATAAGAATGAAAAGCATTAAACTTTAAACGTTCATAAATTAAAAGATGAAGTCACACAAAATCAAATTTAGTGATTCTTTGTGAACACTATGGCGCAATGGAATAATGCAGCATTGTTGACATTTTAAGAACAAAAAGATTTCCTTGGTTAACACAAATGTAATGTTTTTTTTTTTTGCAAAGGAACGCATATAGAAATAACTCAGTAGTCACTAAGAAGTAGTCACTTTGTTGTAACCTTGTGACGTTTGATACGCTATAGTTTTAGTGTATAAATTTTAACATTTTGAACACCCAGCACAGAATTTTGTAAGAAATCTGACTGTGGTTTTATGTGAAGGGAATATAAACTTTATGAAAAGAAGCTCCTGTTGTTGCATTTTCCCCCTAACTCTCCAAGTTTCTCCAAGTGCTGCTTAAGCACTTGATCTGTTATGACTTTTTCAGACAAGCAATACTGAAAACCCCTGTGTTCATTTGAATAGTCGTGGGAGACAAATTTCTCACCCACACAGTTATGAATGAATCGCTGTCACAGTTGTTCCTCCATGGGAAAAAGCTTCTAATATTCACTACCTGTGCTTTTTTTGACTCCCACAGCACAAAATATTTTGACATGATGTGACTGTGCACTGCTGCTGCATTTGTGGGACACTTGATCTTTCAGGACATCATGAATATTATTAAAAACAACAACAACAAAAACACATTTATTTATTTTCATTCAAGTCATGTCACATATACACTGCAAAAAAAAACAGAAAACTATTTGCACTCAGAAATTCTTGATAAATCTGTAAATAATATTAAAATAAAACAAATTATATTAATTTGACACATTTTATTATAACCTCATTTTTATATTTTAAATATATTGTTATTTATAACCCTTATTCCAAGAACAAGAGATGGTTATTTGAAGGAAAGGAAAGAAATAGAGGAAATGAGACAGACTATAAATGCTAAGTCCAGATGTTATAGTAAGGTGTGTGCTCGTGAAAATGTCCTTGCAGTCTTTTTCAAATCCACTACTTCTTTATCAGACATGGGCACTAGTAATGTATGATTCACAGTTTCCACCCCACACACCGTGGGTTGTCCAATGTTTAGCCACAGGCTTATAAAAGTGTTTCATGTGGTTTAAGGCAAAGGCCATGCTGAGTCAAGACAGGAAGACAGCACAGCCTTAAATCAGTTACTGCCCTTTAAAACACTGTTTGACATGCGGCTCTGCACCAGCCCACTGAATTGAAACTTGCTGTTGTGGGTGAAGCTGGTTAGTTTTGGGGGATCTAAAATTGGATACATTCTCGAGGGTCTTGTGCATGCAAGAAACCCCAGAATTTTACTGTACTCGCATGAATAGAGGTAGATTATTGTTTATCTATTTATTTACCCTTTAGCCTTGGGTGTAATCCATGTGTCATGTTTATTTCACCTGGCACTGATTCTTGAGACACGTCTCACAGCTTTATCTGCAGTTTCTTAAAGTACCAACATTTACACTATTAAATTAGTGAAAGATTATTTCTTAACACAAATGCAACATATTTGATTGATTTTCTTTATTGTAGCAAAATGAAGACATATAGCCTATTATGACTCATAACCTTTAAACCCACCTGTCCTCTGTTAATAACTCAGAACTTTAATATTATACTAATACACATGCATATTTAAAGAAACATTACTGTGATGGAGCTGAAAAAAATTTGGTGTCAAAACAATTTTCACTTAAATTGCTAGTAAAGTTCACAAATAATTACAAAGAAGCAGCAAGTAACATTGAATTAAAAATGTAATTTTGAAGTAGAACTGCAATAATCTGTTTTATTTGCAACGTTGAAAAATCTTTTTTACAATGTAAACGCATTAATTCAATGAGTGAATACTACATTTCTAAATATTTATAATAAATATTGACACATTATTTAGTTTCTGGCAGCTGTTGAGCCATATTGTGTGATGATAAGCAAAAACAAACATGTGAGGAATGGAAAAGGCTGGAGTTTGCACAAAAATGTGTTGTAAAACTCTTCAGATTAGTCCAAAATAATTTCTTACATAAACTTTTTTTTTATTTTTTGGTCTTGTTTTGTTCCAGTACTCAAGAATAAATGTACCTATCGAGTTTTGTTAGTACTGCTTAATTAGAGTCAGTTTTTATTTCTTAATTACGTTTATGCCAATTGATTTCCATCGTAAAAAAGAAGAAACTCTTCTTCTTCTTAACAAAACTGCACATTTATCAAAATGTAAAAAAAGTTATGCAGTAGTAGTCTACTCTACTGCTCATTTACATAGTGCGTACGTTTATCATTCCACACTAAGCGAAGAATGCCAATCTCAAGAACGCACGTAAAGGTGCGGGAACATCAAACAACATTTTCTATTGGCCGCGCCGA